CTATCTATCTATCTATCTATCTATCTATCTATCTATCTATCTATCTACATACATACATACATACATACATACATACACACACATATGTATTAGGGTGATTTCTCTCGGGTTCCAGGAAGGAGACCCCTGCTTGGGGAAAGAAAAGCCTCTCACAGTTCCAGAAATAAAATGCAGATCACTACCGCATGGTTAGTGAGTCTGCAATGGCACCCGCCGTTATCTCTTTAGGCGTGTAATGAGTTAAATGGGCTCAGCGGCACTTCCACACTTGTGGGGAGTCGATACTGCAGAGTTTCCCCTTGAATAAAAAGGCACAGTTGGGCAGATGGGCACTGATGCCCCCACCCCAGATGGTGTTCCCAGGGGAGAGAAAAAAGCCTCGGACCCTTTTAAAATGGAGCCTCTCCTGTCGGGCGCAGGTGGCGGCGATCGTAGCAGTGGCGATCATAGCGGCTCGGCTTGAAAAGATCATAATGTGAGTTGTTAGCCATGCAGCTGAGCTGTTATCACCTCCTATCGTCCTGGGGGTGAGAGATCATTATCTGAACCTACGGTGAGCTCCCTTGGCTCGAGTTATATATCATAGGGAGCTGCTTGACTCATTGAAACTAAAAGCCTTAAAGGAGTTGTTTAGAGTTTAAAAGCAAACCTTTTTGTTGACTCCTTTTGAAGCCTTTGCTATTCCAGCCAAAGGAAAGGAAATCAAGCTGCCTATATCCACGAAGGCTGAGCAAAAACTGGGGACGCTAGGGAGGAGTCCTGTGGAGAAGGAGGAGCGTCCTCTCAATTAAAGCCCAGCCTATCAAACGAGCAACAGAAACATCATCCCAAACAATGGATGTTCTGAACAGCTCATCTGGAGAACTCATGGTCTCTTGGTTTCTAGCCTGATGCTTTAATCACCAATATCAAAGTGGCTCTCTTCAGTTTGTTTATATGCTTAAACATATTCAACCCAAACAAGCAAGATTTGGTATATTGAAAATAACATGGACAGAAGTAAAAATCAACAACTCTGTAACACAGCCACTAATGTCATTTCTTATATGTATTTTCTCCTTTTTTTTGAACTATCAAAACCAAAAGATTGTATCAGTAGCAGAACTAAAAACTTTGCCTGCATACCCAAGGTCTGAGGAAGCTTGCATTTTTTAAAGGAAATAAATCTTTCTTGTCACCTCGATGTTTGTGATGAGTTTCAATGATTTTTCCTTCAAAAAAGTGAAAGTTTTTAAGTTCCTAAAATGTAATTTACTGGATTCCAGTCATTATAATGGCTTGCTAGTAACTTTTATTATATTTATTATATTCTCACTTAACAACAGTAAATGTGTATTATTTCAGCTTGTGACTATGAATTTTGCAGCCAAAAAAATGAAAGCTACCTATGTTAAGTTATTTCATGTTGAGGCTAGTTAGGTACAATGATGACTCATGTAAGTTCCTTTTCATTGAAAGTTCTTTTTTGATGCCCAAAATAATAATCTAACTTTGAAGTTAGATGATATTTTTCCTATATTCATACAGAAAATATGAATTATTATTTGAAGCATATTTAAAAGTTCCAAAAGAGAAAATACTGTGATATGTGCTAGTAATCAACTACACAAATAAGTGATACATCTAAAATACTTTGAGGGCTAGGTTGGAAATGAGAAAAAAAAAAGGTTCTGAACTTACGTTTTTGTTCTTGGAAACTGATATAGTACTCCTGGTTGCATTCTGAAAAACAGACAGTAGGGATTAGCTATTAAATGTCATTACTGTTTTTTTTTTAAACCCACTGATTTGTCCAAGTGTTTTGATGAACAGTGGACTGGAGTGGGGACAAGAAACAAGAAGGGGGAATGAGAGAGAGGGTTTTTTTTCTTCTTAATATGCTGTATATCCTTTTCCTACAGAAGAACATCATACATTCTAGCTTTCCAATAGCTTCAGACAAAATAAATAGTTTATAAGAATTACATCTGTTTTAATCTCTCAAGTTTTCATAGCACAAGAGATTCTGTTTATGAAGGGAGCTGCCTGGATAACCAAACTGGACAAAGCAGACCTGATACCTTTATAGAAAATCTTTACACAAAAGTTATGCCTGAAAGGAAAGCAAAATTTCAGATTTTGTCAGCAAGTAAATTCCTGAGATATTTGTCAAGATTTATGGTTACTTAAATCAGTGCAGCTAAGCTTTGCAGTTTCTATACACCGACCTCTGCTTGTCATAATAACTCCAGTAAAGAGCTTGGCAATAACATAAATGAAATACTCAAGGAATTGCCAAGCTTTGACTTTTCTCTAGCCGCTTTAATGGGTCCCAAAGGCCACAGACACTTTAAAGCTCTTAAGTCTTCTGTAAATTGCACGTGTGTTCCATGTCAGACCAGTTGGGAATTCAGGAACTATAAAGTTTGCTTGAAGCTATCTAAATTGAATATTTGTCTAAGCCTTTTTACTATATTAGAAATAAATAAATCATAATAAAGTATTCCTGTTTCAATGTTTGTTATGATAATGGTAGTATGATAATATCATTTACTATTTTTTGAACTAGTTCAACATTTTTGGAATATAAAAGGGATCTCCGAAAATTACTTTTAATTGCCCAATTTTATTTCATTTTTTTCTACTGGGCATAGTTTTGTTTTTTAATGATAATGGAAAGTGGAGCAAAATAAGGTTGATATTTCCCATGTTATTCAATTTTACAGAGAATACACAGACAGACCTATATTATACACTTTTAGAAGTGGAATTAATTTATTTCATCATTTAGCAAAGTTCTCATCCTATAGAAACAAAACTAGTTATCTAACCATCACATTTTAACTTTTAAAATGTATTTTCAGAAATTTTTATAAAGAATAATCATTATGGCTGGATCATGTAACAGAATGTAGATTTTTTGCTATGGAGTTTCTTTGAACATTATTTTGATTATATATAATTGTTATTAAATTTAAAACTCTTGCTTTTATATTATAAAAGCTTTAACATTTCTGCTGTTGACTTGGTTACAGAAAATCTGCAATTATTTTCCATACAGT